TGGGCACAAACCTGGGCAGAAGTTTCCAGACAGTCCCTCTTTGGGTACACTTCATTAACCTTGATCTCAACTAGGCCAACTCCTGCATGAGGAGGAAGCCAGAAGGGAGAAGAAAATCACCAGCACTCCCTCCCTCAAATCTCTGAGTAGGTAATTACCTGAATGCGTGTTTTACGTCCAGACAGGTTTCGCCTCGAGAGGAGATGAGATTCTCCAAGCCTGCGAATCCAAGGTGTCATATGAGGGCAGCCCCACCAGACCTGGAGCCATCTGCTCTGCCAGGTGATGTGTGAAGTGATGTTCTGCAGGTCCTCCCCTCCAGCAGCGTGGCCCATGCCAGGCACAGGGGACAGCCACCCCCTGGGTCATCAACAGTGTCTCAGTAATGGTTCTGCAAGGCACTTGGTGGGAGGTGACTGTGACTACTCTACAGACACAGTGGGACTCTCACACCTCATTCCCCTTCCCTGGTACAGCTTTCTCAGGTCATTCAGTCTACAACCCTGGTTTCCTGAAAAGGTGGCTAAAAAAACCATGGAAAACGAGAAAACTTGGACCAAACTCATCCTAACAAAAAACCACAACCAACCAGACCCCAGAGATGGCCATTTCACTGTAGATGGAGATCAATGGTGCTTCAGAGCACGCATGAGGCTCTAGTTGGGCAATGAGGGTATGAGGAGGTCAAAATGTCCCAACCAGGGATCTCATCCTGGAATTTGTTTCATACAAATGCACCCTGGTGTGTCCCTTTGCCTCCTGAACAGTCCAGATCGGTTTGCTGCATCCCAGGTACCCAAGTTTAGCCTCCAAAGTCCGTAAATTGATAGCAAAGCAATTGGTCTGACATTCTATGGTGTCACATACCCGTTTTGGTAGGGATCGTGAATACCCCCCAAAAACTGGTAGGTGTTTTGGATGCTGACACATAGCCCTTGAGGCTCAGGAAGAACTTGCACTGACCTTACAGGCTCAGGCAGGCAAGGGCAACAGGTGCAACATCTGCAACATTGTGAGGTACAAATCACCTCTGCAATGCTGTCAGAATTATTTTTTTTAACTGTAACAGCTACTGGCAAGGCTGAGTGTGCAGGAGATCACCTCTGGCCAAGTGTCCCGACCTGCACATCCACTGAATGCTGACTGCTCTCTCTGCTGGCCAACTGAGAAATGGGATTTTCTCAAGACAGACCTGGTCACGTACAAGTTTGCAAAAATGCATTGCCCAAGCAAATGCATGCCAGAAAAAAGCAGCCTTTCTTTTTCTAAAGTCCCAAACAGGTAAATAAAAGAGGTTAGGTATCACATAAATTATATTCTTAAGTAAAAAGCAGCAGCAAAGAAGAGGAAGAAGACAGGAGAGATGTGGGTGTTCCATCTCATGCTGCAGTTTACTGCTGCAATAGCCTGATAGGGACCTGTGAGACAGGATGTGCCCCTCATTATAAGGCTCTCAGGGTCTTGCCCTACGATGTGTAGAAGTAAAGGTGTTGGAGAATTTCTGGTGGCCAGATGAGATGTGTAGATGAACTGAACCCAGAAACTGGGAGACCATGGGATTGGGAATAACTGACCTAAAGGCAAAAGGTTTCTCCTTGCTTTGTTCAATCACCCAACTCAAGAGTCACCTAGTCCAGAAAGCCACCACTTAAGGGCTCTCAGCACATAAATACTGTAATAACTGGACAGCAGAAAGACATCACTGTGAGAAAGGACGAAGTAAAGAAGGCTGAAAGGGAATGGAAAGCTAAACTGCATTTAGAAGTCATTGTACTGAAAGTGCATAAGCAGCATATCTTTGTCTTGGACACACTGGGACAACATCTGGACACAGGAAAGATTCAAAGTCTCAAGGGCTATGGACAGCATGGACTGTAGGTGTGCACGTGCTGATCCTGCAGTGCCAGTGCACTCCAGCCAACCAGCCTTGCAGTAACGTCAAAGCTTTCATATTATTCCGTATCTCGTAGGGCATAAGCCCAGCCCCCCTGCATCAAGAAGTGAGGCTCTCCCCAAGCACCACATCAGCGGGGTGGCTGCACCAGCCAGCCTGGAGCTGTACCCGAGGACCACCAAGTCATGCCCTCTCGTACAGCGCCCCCCCACACATACACCCACCTGTGGTATAAAGTTGCTTCAATCTTAGGTGTTTAAATACATCAGCGATCACAGAGATGATAATTAGTGATGTCTGGCAGCAAAGCTGAGTCCTCGCCATCAGCTTCACAGTGGCAGTTCTTTGTACTCCTGCAGGCCCACAGTCAAGTGACTCTCATAAAACTTTGCTTTTCTTTCTGCAACTTACTGAGGTGCTCAGTGGGAAAACACCTCACACCTCAATATGAGGTGACAGCAGAGAGGTTAAACACAGCATGTTTCACAAAATAGGCAGGATTGGGGTTATTTGAAGAGAGAAGGGACATAAGAGGGGAGGGAATTCACTTAGTCCCTCTGATGGGACACTGGAATTAATCAGCATTAGAAAAGGGCTGTTTTCTGATAGTTACAGTTAAGCAAGTAGCTTTTCTTTGCATTTGGGGCCCTAAATGAGCACTTGATGTATTCCTGAATTCTGTCCTTCTGATAGCACATCTCCTGAAATGCTGATGAAATGCTCCCAGGCTTGAAGGGCTACAGAGGCAGCACCACAAAATCACCATCCCCAGCACTGAAAGAAATCATTCTCTGGCTTCTACCGATTCCTCTGGAATGACAACTTTTTACAAGAGCTACAAAAAGGTTGTTAATTATAGAAAAGCTATCATCACACATGCACAGCCTTCTACATGTAAAATTAAGCACCTGTTCAGAAGGATGTGAGAGAAAAAGAACACATTGATTTTTATTTTTTTTTTAACTTGCGTATTCTGAATAATGGTTGTGACTGTTCTCCTTCTTAACAGCCTCGATGCTGAAACTAAATTAAACCAGGCAGACTCTTGTGTCTGATCCCCACTAAAGGGAGAGTGTCACAGATTTCAGGCACCGGAAATCAGCTGAGGTTAAACCAAATGACACACTCAAGTAGGGAGGGATGAGAACCTAATGTTCTGTAACAACTTAAAGGGTCTGTTGAGCAATGCACAGGAACTCTGTGTGTATGACAATCAGTCACCTGAAGGGTAAGAAGCGCTCATCTAAACCACAGATCTTTGCATTCTCACTTCTGCCACGTCTCACCCGGGCACTGGGTTGGCATCTGCACAGAGCTGAGCAGGCAAACTGCTGCTGCTCTGCACAGTCACAGTCACAGTCACAGTCACAGTAACATCACTCAAAAATGGCATGTAACAACATCTTCATTCACTCAGAGCACGTCTGCCACATCAGTGTCATGCAGAAAGAGCTGCCATTTCATCCAAACATGGCTAAATCAGATCTTTTACTCAGGTGTGTCTGGTAAAATCCAGAGCTCTCAGGAGGGTTCTGTGCAATAGTTTGTCAGGAATCCTGAGTTTCATCATTTTAATCTCTTCTAATGAAGCTGGTTCAGAGTGACAGAAACTGCAGATCAACTCCCACTCCACAGGTGAGTGCCCCAACCACCAGCCTCCTATCCATAGTCTGTGCTGGCACCCAAGGAATCCGTGTGGCAGCAGTCTGTCCGCACAGCCAACCAGCTGTGCTGCACCTGGCAACAGAAAGTTTCAGTTCCTTATTATTAAGTTAAGCAGCCCTTATGACACAGAAAGAGATGTGTGGATGAAGTGAATCAACTCCCCAGAGGTTCAGTCAGCTGTGCCCATTGTTAACACGCTGAGTGAATTCCCTGGGGCTGTTGGGACATACAGTAATACAGTATGTGGGTAACAATACAGCTGTGTAACAGTAATATACGTGTAAGTTTCTTTGTGGTTTTTATATTTTTCTGTACTTACAAATAAAACAATCCCATAATACTTAAAAACTTCCCTGTGCTTTTCCTCACCAGGACTGAAGTCCATCACAAATATTTACTGTAGTCTCAACCCCAGTAGGTTTCCAAGGCCTGACTGCATAAAGTCCTGACCAGTCTGGTCTGACCTGATTTCAACAGGAGATCGGACTAGAGACTGTCTGACCCTTCTAACCTGAATTATTCCACCAGGCTGTGATTCTATAATGTGCTGCTGTGCAAAGTAGAGCAGGTCCAAAGCCAAGAATTAAATACCCCATCTTAGCCTGTTTCTGTAATTCCATGTTTAGAGCACTCTTTTAAGAGGTGGGAGACTGCTCCAAACCCCTGATTAGCATGAGGGTTTCCTGGGATGCCCTGCAGGGATGCAGCTTGGTATCACCTCAGAGGATACTCAGCAGCAGGTGACCCCAACGGGGTAGGCTTTCTCATTCCCTTCCCCCCAGCCATATGGCCCTGCAGATTTCCTTACCCCAGCAGGAGCAGCTGTTTGACCTCATGGCAGGCCAGCTCAAGGAGCTAAGGTTCAGGAAAAAAACCAACAAACTTTCCTGCTTTCTGTCAGTTGAGCTTCCTACTCTGGATTACCACGGGGCCAAGCTAAGACCAAGCGCAAGGAGATGGGAGCAGGTGAAAATGCACAGCCAGCCTGAGAAGCAAAAATAGCAACTGCATCTTCCAGTAATGTCAGCACTGGAACATTGAACTGAAATGGCAGGATTTAATCCTGCCCTTATACAGCACAGAAACCTGGACACTCACCTGGTTTTACACAGTGCATGGGAGTTCAAGATTGTGCTACTCCATCAATGTTCCCTTTAGGCTTCTGCTAAGTAAGGACTAATCAGTAAAGCCAGTGAGTAAACTGAGATGCACCCTCTGCTTACATAAGTGACAGAAATCATAACACAAAGAAAACACATTTTATCACACTTCTAAAATGTGTCAACGTGCAGCAATATGAGCTACAATGTTCAGTATTTTATGCACATATTTTTCCAAAAGCTTTTCTTACAGCTCTTCATTTGGGCACAGTGGATGGAAAAGCAATATGCTTATGGTGGGATGTCTGCCTTTGATTTGACATTAAAAACCAAGTTCATTCTTACATAATCAAAATAAAAGTTTTTATTCGGTTCATGATATTTCTGACTGGGTATTCTATTTTTCCAAGTACTTATTCCATGTACAGAAATGTAAACCATAAACACAATGTAAGAGCAGCAAAACAAAATGCATCCACTCAAAACAGAAGCAGGGAGAACTTCTTTGTTCACTTCACTGTTCTTCCAGGGAGTAGCTGTAATCAGTCTGTCTGCCAAATCGATGCACAAAGTCTGGAAGGGGGAACACTGAGCCCCATCCCACATTTGGATTCATACTGATGAAATCATCCAAGTTCATCTTGGAGTCTAAAAAAGGACCAGAAAAGGGAAATATTTAAGTTCCTGATGCAGGTTCAGCAGCACAGGTATACATCTATCAAGAAAATGCCCCAAACCCCTCTTTGATAGTTCAGCTCACTATGGAAAGATACTCTGCAAATTGTATGGTGTTACAAAACCTTCTATTTCCAGGCTCTGAAATGTTGCTTTTGCCCCGATTCCTCTTTCTGCCCATGGCAATAATCACATTACCAGATCAGTAAGCATCCTCAGTCATTAGAAACCACTATATGTAGGAAAGGGTAAGATTTTTCCCTACATCAGCAGTCTAGAAGGGTCAAGTAGGGTCACAGAACTAGAGTGCAAATAACAACCAACACAGGGAACTGCAATGCAACAGGTGCTCATGGTCTTCCTGCGTTCACACAAATGGGATTACTCAAAATCAGGGGACACACTATTCCCTCTCCTAAATTCTGAACTAAAGTCAATGGAGTCAAGTTTTGCACTGACCACAAAGGAACTGGATCACAAACTGCCGGGGGTGGACCAGAGAAGGCCTACAGAGCGTGGAGAGAAATGAAAAAGCACTGCAAGGAAGGCTTAGAGGAAGAGATCTCTCTGGAAGATTTCTAGTAACTTCAGCTGTGCAGAACTGCCTGGGAACCAGCTCAACTACAAGGCCGCAGCACTGCAGCTTCAGCAAATTCCCTTGTTCGTGCACCCAGGACAGTTCTTCCATTGTTCCCCTAGCTCTTCCTTCCCCCTAAGTAACCTGACATACCCCAGTAGCCTATCCCTCCTAGTCCCCATATCAGTAACCCTCAGGATTTGATGTTCCTAGTTGGGTTCCTACCCCTATTCCTGAAGCTTCTGTGTTCCCCTGTATAAAAGCTGTCTTCTTGTTTCAATAAACTGCCATTTTGTGGGTCACATATCTCGTGTGTGTGTGTCCCGTCTCCCAATGCAAAATGTGCCGCTGGGTCTTGTAGCAGGTACCCCCGTAACCTGCTATAACAAACAGCAGTCATAACTGGGATTTGCTTATTGTCTCTTAGAATTGACAAACCCCTTGTCAAACCTACAATTTGTTACTCCCAGATTACAGTATTTGCTTTCCCTCCAGCCCCAAACTTTGTCCTTGCTGTACACCAGCCCACTGTGGGGCCAGAGTATGCAGAGGGGAGAAAATGTCTGACCTAACACAGCCCAGCCTAGAGGGATGCTCAGGCAAAGGAAGGTATAAACCTAGGCTGTGGGCAAATACTTCAATTTATTTTTTGGGAATCCTGAACAAAAAAAGAAGTCAGAGGGGGAAAAGCTTAACTGCCATGATTTCAAGAGAAAAATAACCATGACTGCTCTTTGACAGGAGTTTAATCTGCTCTGTCCCCCGCAGGAGAGGTAGAAACCATTCTGTCCCATTTGTGGATCCCAGGGAGCACACTGGAAAGTGCTGGTATGAAGTTTTGGGTTTAGGTGCCTTATCCATCCTTTTCCTGGAGCTGGCCTGGTATAAGCTTTGCTGACTCCGAACCACACTGGTCAGAGGTTCAGCTCTGACTACAAACATCTGAGCGCTTGTTGTTTTATGTTCTCACTGATGAAGTGTGCAAATAATCTTTCCAAATGCCTATTAAAAGAAAACTGGAAGGGAAAGAGTTTAAGGAACAGAGTGGCAAAGCCACTGTTACAGCTTTACTTTACAGATTTACTGTAAACAGCTTTTCCACTGTATTAAGTATTTATTTTAACATGGATGTGTGCATTTAAGGATTAAGAACCAAACAAGTGGAGGCTCTAATGAACAGATTATAAAATCCAAAGAATGGAATTTGCTTCATCTGCAAAAAGCTTGTGTAATTAGGATTACCATTATGGACAGCATAAACAAGGAAGGGAAGATGATGTTCAGGAATCCCAGACTCGGGAATCCCAGACCCAGGAGCCCCAGCCATAATCCAGCCCCCAAAGGCCTCTGTTTGCACCACATCTACACTACAGCACAGCTTTGTGATTTGACTAATCTCCACTCTCACCCCTTTTGAGGTCTGGCTTCTAAATCTTTTACTGTTAACCTGTTTGAACTTTGATATGGAAAATCCTTATGTCCAGCCATTGCCCTACTGCTGAAGTGAGTCTGGCAGCACATGGACAGTTTCTGCCTGACTGTGTGGGAATTTAAAACAGCACAAGCTCAGCAATTTGCTGTCATAGCTCAAGCACAATTAGCAGTGGATAACAGCTCTTGCTTGCTGGTAGACTGGTAAGTCTGTTTTCCAGTTCCAAACTTGGAACTTGACTTTTCCTCACAGATGGTGTTGTTTTAAGTAATCTGAGTCTTCATATACTTTAAGATTAAATAAATAAATAATTTTCTGCTTTATGTGCATGAGCATAGTAGAATAATTTCATAGAACTTTTCAGTGACTGGTAAAGCAGTCCAAAGGGGATTGTTCAGTACTTACAAACACAGATCTGTTAGCAACTTCAAAGTTGCTGTCACAATGCCTGTAAGAAATGAAGTATTTTCTTAAATTCAGAAGAATTGTGGCAGAGCATAACACAGTCCATCAGAGAAGTTTAATGAAAGGAAATATTGTTTTACCAAAGCAAACAAGCCCATTCCTGCGAAGAGCGATGGCCTAAAAACCAGTCAATAGATGGCACTGGAGCAGCACGGGAGATACCCATAGGGAAAAACTCAGTGAGACCTCTCCCGTTTTATTCGTGCAATAACAGCCCCTCTGTGCCACTCCTCCCTCATGGGCTCTATCTGAAGGCCGTGCCTGTCGGGTTACACCTTACAGCTTCAGAAAACAGCTCGGCAAAAACGCATGAGAACACCACAAAGTCCTCTTCCCTAAGCAGATGAAGATGAACGTCAGTGATGTACAGTGATGAACATCAGAATTTGCAAAAGAGACCTCTGGATATTGCAGCTGACACACCAAGAGGATTTCTCCACAAAAGCAAGGAGCATGTGTTATACAACATTTTCATAAGATCAAGGGCAGCACAATTATTTCTTTTAAGATTTACATTACAGTTGCAGTTCTCCTCAGGTGCTGTGGCTATTACACTAGCTTGCATTTGTGTATGCTCAGAGCTCATCTATCTCTTTTCCCAAACACACTTGGTTACACACATCCCATCAAAAAGACCTATCTGGCAAATTATGAGAATCCTGAATAATTTTACTTTTGCTTAAATCAAGTCTGACACTTTTATCCGGAGCAAGGATGAAATAAAAGGCCATGCACTATCCTACGGTGTTGTTAGCCACCATACTTGTGGCTTCTGCCAGCAGTAGTTAGAAAGCAACGTTTCAGCCAAGCCTCAGCTTGGCTCACAGACCTTGGACTAACTCAGTGTAACGACAGCTGCCGAAGGGCTGCTGGAAGCGGGGAAGTCTGGAACAAAGCCTCCAGGATCAGTTCTGCTGATGCCTAACCTTGGGGGCACCTAAAATACTTAGAAAGTTGGGCTCTTCACAGACTCGTGTAGGTGTCTACAGTTCTCTGCAGATTCCCTTCCCCTGTCTGAGCAGGGAGATGTCAGACAGACTCGTCCCACACTCAGCTGGAAGGTGCTGTCCCCACAGCTGAGATACAACTGACTGTGCAGACCATTCCTGGTTGATCTCAGTGTAAAACACAGCTCATCGCTTTAAATTATCTTTCACACTAAGTTCAATAAGCCACTCTGGGAATTTAAATACTTCTATCCTCAGATGTGTCTTTATTGCCTCTATCCAACTTGATTTATTACTTCCACAAAAGCTTATGAAGTAAGGACCTAACTTAACAGACTGGAGTTTTATTCTCAGATGAGAACAGCAGAAGGTTCCCATTAAGTGCAGAGGAGCTACTTTTACCAGTATCAGTGCTTTCCTTTTCACTTTCACTAGGATCCTACCACCATCTCTCAGAGAGAAGATACAGAAAGCAACTGCAGACATCTGCCCTGGCCTCGTCTAGCAGCTTTCCTGTTACATAGATGAGTAAAACCCAGTGCCTCCAGAATTTCTCAGCTGTCCTACCCACAAAAAAAAAAAACCCAACCCAAGTAAAACCCCATAATTATTGACTATCAGGGATTTTAATAACAATAAAAAGAACAAAAAGTCTTTATAAGTCAATCCTGTGAGTGTGCTACCAAACACCTTGGGAGAGCTGAAACTCAAACCAATGCTTTTCAGTGCTAGAGCTGCTGCTAACAGTTGTCTGTAAGCTGATGGCCATCTGTTCTGAGTAATTTTGAAATGCACTGTGCAGGCTGTATTTTACATGGGCTTGCAGTAAGGAGGGCTGATCTCATCACGACTCATATACTAAGCAGAATCAGACCTCATTAATTTGTGGAAAGAAGATTTAAAAGAAAACCCCAGGCTCACCAGCCCTGGAATAATGAATCTGTGCACCAAATCTCATTTTCTTAATTTTCACTGTTTGAACAAAATACCCTGTTTTCTTTCGACAGGAGGTCACTGGCAATCAGGTGGGACCGGGAGAATCTGCTGCAGCTCAGGTATGATTATTGCAGCAGAGCTGCTTTGAGGATAGGGCAAGGTGAGAAGGCACCAAGCACCCAGTTAGGTTAGCCAGCTTCTCCTGGCACACATGGCAGCAGAGCAGAACAGAGGCCAGAGCAATACCAGTAATAAATAGAGAGGCCTAACTCTGGGAAATGGCTAGAGCAGAGCACGTTCCAAAAGGCTAATGCTTAGCATGTGAGTTCTGAGGAGATACTGAGGAGTTTGAGGGAGAGTTTCTTCTGTTCATTGGTTGGACTGGGGTTATTTGTGTTTTAGAAAATGTTTTTAAAAAAATTTTGAAATCCCATGAGCGAGACAAATACAGTTTTAAGATTTATTCCCTTTGAGTTAATAGTAGGAAAAAGTGCTTAACTCGTCACTGACAGGTTCCTCAATTCAATTCCAAAAGTTCTGGAAGCAGGAGGGCTACACGGGTGGCTTCTCTGAGAAGTTGCCAGAAGCTTCCCCCAGGTCCTACAGAGCCAGTGCCAGCCAGCTCTGCTGCTGCCCAAGGCTGAGGGAGTAGCACCTCTGGGATAATATATTTAAGACGGAAAAAAAAGCTCTTCCACAGGTGTAATTGTGGCCAGAGAAGACCAGAGCGAGAATCTGTGACAGAAACAACTCTGCAGACACCAAGGTCATTGAAGGAGGAGGGGGAGGTGGTCCTCCAGGCACTGGAGCAGAAATTCCCTTGCAGCCCATGGTGAAGACCATGGTGAAGCAGCTGTGCCCCTACAGCCCACGGAGGAGCCTCACGCTGGAGCAGGTGGATGCCTCAGAGAAGGCTGTGACCCAGTGGGAAGCCCATGCTGGAGCAGACTTGGCAGGGACCTACAGACCCATGGAGAGAGGAGTTCACGCTGGAGTAGGTTTGCTGGCAGGACTTGTGACCCCACAATGGCCCCACACTGGAGCAGCCTGTTCCTGAAAGACTGCACCCTGTGGAAAGGGACCCCTGCTGAGCAGTTTGTGAAGAACTGCAGCCCGTGGGATGAACTCACATTGGAGAAGTTCACAGAGGACTGTCTCCCGAGAGACTACACAATGGAGCAGGGGAAGGACTCCTCTTCCTGAAGAGAAAGCAGTGGCAGAAACAAAATGTGATGAACTGACTGTAACCCCATTTTCCATCTCCCTGAGCTGAGGGGGGAGGGAGGAGGTATAGATTTTGAGCCTCTGATTTTGATTCAACTAATTCAATTAATTTCTCCAAGTCGAGTCTGTTTTGCCAGTGAAAGTAATCAGTGAGTGACTGAGTGATCTCTCCCCATCCTTATCTCAACTCATGAGTCTTTCATTATATTTTCTCTCCCTTGTCCAGCTGAGGAGGAGAGTGACTGAGAAGCTTTGGTGGGTATCTGGCAACCAGCCAGGGTCAAATGACACAAACATCAAAAAAGACATTAAGAAACAGAAGTAATTTAAAAACCTTACATCTTCTCAAGAGAGTAGGAATTTGGCTACTCTAAATGAAGGCAAAAAAAACCCAAACAAAACAAACCACTCTAATACAAATGTGCCTCAGAAATAAATTGGTATTAAAACAATATTGGGTCGATTCTGTCAGCCATTAAACTGCAGTCACCTCTGACGTGAAATATGCAAGCAATTTAATCTTACACAAACACAAATCAACATGGAAAGCAGAGCACTCTATCGAAGTGAAACGGCGGGGAGAAAACAGTTATCTGCAATGGAATTTGGCACAGACACGAATATTAATACCCCAGGCTCATCTGTGATAACAAAAGGTCTACCACCCACTTCTCCAACAAGTTAAAAATAAGGCACTTTTATGCCCGATAAAACTGTGCTGAGACATTGCAGCTAAACCCAGACTCCTCGCAGACTTACAGCACCATGCACATTGAAGCACACACCATAATAAAGTATCCCCAGTGAATACCAAGGGAAGACAAAAAATAAAGCTGGAGGAACTGGTACTAAATTAAAGACAACTTGAACTAGACATCCTAGATATGAGACAATCTATCCCTGTTCTGACTCAGGCCTTGAAATTCCCTAGAGAATGACCTTCCACCTTCAGTGGGGTGCAGGGTAACAGGTTTCTTTCAGCCACCTGACCAGGAGACCAGAGGCTATGAACCCAGAGCTGGAACAGTGTCCATTTGGAGCTCCTCAGTACAAAAAAACCCCAAAACATGGACATACTGGAGTAAGCCCAAAAGAAGAACATCAAGTTTTTTAGGGCAGGACAACATTATATTCAAGGAGAGATTGAGAGAACTGCGTCTGTTCAGTCTTAAAAAGAGAAGACAAAGGGGAAATGTTACTGCTGCCTACATCTACCTGATCAGAGGACACGAAGAAGATGGAGCCAGAGCCTTCTCGGAGGAGCCTGGCAAGAGGACAAGAAGTTAAAAAAGCAAGTTGGAACATGGGAAATTCAGATTATGTATTAGGAATTTTTATTTATTTACCACAATAGTCATCAAAGATTGGAACAGACTATCCAGAAAGGTGGTGGAATTGCCATCCCTGGAGGTGTTCAAGACTACACTGGACAAAGCCCTGAGGAATCTCTGTTTTGATTAGGTGTTGGACTGGATGACCTATGGATGTTTCCTTCAGCATGGTAAGATACAGAGCAAAGAACTAACACATAGGAGAAAGGAAGAGCTATGTATCTTTCACTGTCTACCAGCATCACAGAGACAATCTGGAGGTTGGCTGAGACCTGGGGCTGCTGCTCCTCAGTGAGATAAAGCTCAGCCAAACAAGACAGGAAAGAGCAAGAGTTACAGGGTTTGCAGCTATGGAGTCATTCACTTGAGCTACATATTCATGTACACATCCGCAACTGTTTGAGTCATTCTGTAACTTACTATCCACAAGTAAAGGGCTTTTACTCTTTTGATTTCAGTAGAACTTTTTCACTTTCCTGGACTGTCCTCATCTATATTTCTCACACTTTCATTATCTCTCAATTATCACAACAACGTTTCTATAGGCAAAATGTTCTTAGCCCCTAGGAGGTTTCAGCTAACAGTGAACCATCCACTGTAGTTCAGGCATTCTATACTCCCTATACTACCTTCACGTAAAACTTTACTGAACGTAACAACCAAGACCTAGAATTTAAGGCACTTCGTAACCTGGATTGTCAACAAAACGCCTGAAGTTTCATAACTAAGGCTGTGCTCCTGCTCCTTCTCACAGTTCATTTCTACTCCCGTGTGAGACATTGAGCTTCCCTAGAAGCCAAACCAAAGACTGAGAGTTAACTTCTCAGCAACTTAAAACTGCAGGACACTCAGACCTAAACACAAAACACGTTTCTTTGACCCTGCCTTCTTTAATATAAGCACATAGCAGTACTGCATTATTAAAAAAGCGACAAAATCAAACATGCAGAGGCGTAGCATGAAAACTCTTTCAAAGCAAAACTTCACCGTGCTTTCCTTGGAAGAAAATGAGAGAATAAACAAGCACATGGCAAATGTTAGTCAGCTTGCCAAACACATGATTAGAATAAGCTCAAGTGCTGTGTGATAAGAATGGTTTAAGCAGTTCTATAGAATAGATGGCAATAGATCTTTACCTCCCTCTCTCTGCCTGGCCCAGAGGCTGTTAGCTAGACTCACCACCCAAAAGAGGCTTAGGGAAAAACTTGCCAACTTGCCAGTGTGCCTTAAAGCAATCCTCAGGTCCATTCACCTGGTACAGAAATCTCAAACATCTCATCCAGGCAAAGCCATCATGCTGAGCAGAGCCTGAAAACCTCCTCCTGCCAGTATAATCTACTCTGCCAGAATGGGACCTGCGAGCTAGAGCGTGGTATAATCAGTGTGTAAAAAGTTCACTTTGTGACCCCTAAGCAAGTTATTTGGCCTCTTTGATTCAGTCCCCTGCTGTAATGAGAGAACGGTATTACCTACCTCTCACTCTCTGCTCAGTTTATGAAGATTAGTAATTAATGTTTGACAATGGTAAATGCCAGAAGGCATGTTAGACTACACATCCAGAAAAGGGAGTGCCAAATGTTTTTAAGCCCTATTTTTTCCCAGCTAGCTGGACAGATGTTCTGGAAGTATATTTATTTGTGGTGTACATCCTTGACTATGTTATTCAACGCTGTAAGCAGGAATAAGGAGTTCTGGGGGCTTACCTGCAGTTTCAATGCAAGGGTATGGAGGAGGAGGTTTCTGCCATTTCCCATTTGCATCCTTCATATGAGATCTGTCTGAAGCAAATGTCTTCAAGTACAAATCTGCTCGAATCATTCTGATTTTTCTAAATGAAAATGCAAAACTGTATCAAAAGATGCGTGTATACAATATTGCTTTAGTCACTCAGAACAAGAGTGCTTTCCTCTCATTAAGGAGCATTAATTTCATTAAATACACAAATCAGCAATATTGTGCCAAGCAGTTAACAAGAAACTACAGTAGGAAAGAAAAGGGCTTTTGATGCCTAAGGTAAAGAGCTTTAGAAAAATAACACAGGGCATTTATTTTACTGGAGTAAGCAAGAAACCCCCCCTGTCACTACACATACCCAAAGAGAACTTCGAGTTCACAAAATACCCTTCATAGTCTTTATATTTTACATCATCACCTGTGAAATTCTGGACGAAGGCTGTCATCCAGCCGAAAGGCCTCCACGCTGTACATGTCAAAAGGACATGGAAATGGCAACACTGTGTCAAGATCATAAATGAAGTTCTGCTCCCCGCTGGTAACATGAAGTAGAATAACATGGTAGTCCTGGGAAGAAGGGCAATTGCCATTAGTTAAACAGCCATTAACAAGAAACTAGAAAAGGAGTGAAAAAAAAAAAAAAAAGTTTCCTAAAAGCAGAAGTTCAGATCCATTTTTTAAAGCCTGCTTTCTGTCCTTGAATATTAAGCCTGTAACATTTCTGGCACCAGGAGAGAGATTTTTTTTAACACCTGTCTTGCCCATCATGCTTTTCCAGACACCTCGGTATTTCCTCCATTTCTTTGCACCCTCCTTTGATTTAAGCCTAGACAGCTAAACTAAAGTGTACTCTACTCCTAAGACAGCAAATCTCTTTCGTGTTCCACACCAAAACACAGAACTTGAATGGGATAAGGATTTTTGTCTCAGACCCAGTCCTGAGCAAAAGCTCACAGTAAGATATGATGATAGCTTAACATTAAAATTTTCTAGTGATCTCTTCTAATAAGAGATTTTGTACCTGCTGCAACAACACTGTGAATTTCAGTGCTGCTGAGTGTTCAGTGCCAGAAGCACCTGAAGAACCAGCAAACAGCTCAGATCAAGAGGACTGCAGGAGTAAGACAAATTCCTGTAGCAGCTCTTGAAGCAGGGAGAAAACACCTATGGCACACTTTTTCAAGGGAACTATTTTGCCTTGACACTTGGGTTATGGGGTACAGTTTTATTCCTTAACTTGTAAGAAACACGGGTGTGGTGGAGGTTTGGGGACACTGCAGTTACTTATGTCAGGAGTCAGGTATGTTCACTGATGTTTCCCAAAATTAAACTGAAGGCAGCTGTTAACAGCTTACTGAAGTTTACACTGAATCCACTCACAAAAAGGGTTTGGAGCACTGTCTTTCGACACTTTAAATATTAAAACCACAAAGGGATTCGAATGAAAAGGATTTGGGCAAGATATTTCACCAGGCCAATATTTACAACTGTATCCAACAGTATTTAGAAGAATCTCTTAAAATGTATACGAAAAAGTACCCACAAGCTTTATATATCCTACAATCCACTGAAACAAAGTTAAAAATTCATGGATTGAAAGCTGTTTTATGAGAAATCCACATTCTGCCATGGCCTTTCCAGACTCTCCTATTCCTTTTTAAGGTCATCCCTGTAACACGTGGATCTCTTTTTAGACTGAATCGTTTTTTGTACTGCAAAGAGACCAACATTTTGGGAGAGAATGAATGATTCAGAAATCAGAGAACTACAGAAGTTTGCAGATTCTTTCACAGAATTTCAGAAATGGCAACTGCCAAAAGAAATAGTTTTTTCTGTGCCATATAACTGAAAGGACTCTGTAATGATACCAAGGACTTCTGTAGCAGCAATTACTGAATTACATTAATTGATCAAATGACACTCCAAAGCCACCATTTATGGGTCAGATTAATTGCTGACACCTGAATACATATATTGCTTATATTTTTCTGTCATCTAGCAAGCCTACATAAATATTTTTATCCATCTACTTCTTACAAGTACAGTAATCTACTTATAATTCTACAAAGCTGGCAGCCTCGATACCCAGAGAATAATTTTCACTAATCTGTATTCTTACCAAAGTAAGGCTTGTCATCTGTAGATTTTACTGATTGTCTTGCTGTTAATTTATGATGGATGGTACAAAGGAGCACCACATTTAAGCTACCTATAAATCTTTTGTAAAAGAATCATAAAAATTAATACCAAACTATACAATAGTTGAGGTTGGAAGGGACTTCAGGAGGTCCTCTGGTCCAACCTGTTGCTCCAGCAGGCACACCTAGAGGCAGCTGCCCAGGTCTGTGTCCAGACAGCTTCGAAATATCTCCACGGATGGAGACTCCACAACCTCCCTGGGCAACCTGCTCCAGTGCTCCATCATCCTCACAGCAAAAAACCTGTTCCTTTACGTTCAGATGGAAGAATTTCTCACAGTGAAGATGCCCGTGTCTGATCCTGCAGCTATTAACTACAGAGGCACACACTCGAAATTACTGAGAGAGAAACAAATGCCTTACCCAGACAACAGGCTCATCTCCATGTCCAGATTTCTGCTTCCAGAGAGGAATCTGCAAGTTATAGGTGAATCTGAAGTAAATAACATCTTTCAGAGTAATACAGATTAATTTCAGGTAAATTAGTTAGTTCCTTGCTAAACTATCAACTTCCTCACTTTACATCTGTGCTGCAGTCAGACTTTCTCTAGTTTCTCCCTCAGAAGCATGAAGTTGGAGATACTATTCTGGGCCACATTAGAATAGTCTGTCCAGAGAAGTGGTGGAATCACCACTGTGATTCCAAATCACCCTTTTGATTCCAAGTGTCCAAAAGACATGAGGAGGGAGCACTTGTGGATTTGGTTTCATGGTGAACGCAGTGGTGCTGGGTTAACTGCTGGACTTGTTCTTAGAGGTCTTCTCCAACCTTATGGTTATTAATGGCTCTGTGATTCCACAAAGGTAACCATTCTCCTAAACTGACAGATTACAGGGAAGAATTACCCCACAGCTCACAGGGACACCACGCCTCTTTCCCACTATCCTCAATGCCGTGCGCAATTAAAATATCTCAAGTGGTGTGGATGGCACACCTCTGAGCCAAAGTGATCTACAACATGGGTTTGGACTGCGTTTCACTAAGAGATTGGGCTAAAGGCTCACTCACCTACCCTGGGCTGTGGCTGAAATCGCTGGGGCCACGTCTCACCTACTCTGGGCTGCGCTCTGCAGGCCCGAGCCTCTCCAGAGCCGACCGATCACATCCCATTGACTCACCATCCTCCTGTCATTGGATATGAAAACAGCGTAAAACTCTTCTAAGGGGTACCGATCCTGACTCCTGATGTAGTCACAAAGCTTCCAAACATTTTCTTCGCTGCAAAACACACACAAAAAAATGGTTTTTTTTTCCCACCAGCTTTATTTCTGGTGCAAGGAAGCGAGCTGAGAGCAGATCTGAGAGCTGTGAGACCAGCCCGCAGCCGCGCCACTCCCGCCGGCGGTTCCGGCCACCCCCAGCGCCTCCCCGGGGTGCGGGGAGTCCCCGTCCCCGTCCCCCTTACCAGTAGCAGCTGGTGTAGGTGCAGGCAGAGCGGGCCGGCACCGCCGCCTCGTAGGCGGGCGCGGGCCGCGCCATGGCCCGTGAGAGCAGGCAGCGCTGGGCCCGGCGGGGCAGCCCCTACGCCGTCCCTGAGGGCGCCGCCGCCATCCCGGCCCGGCGCGGGGACCCCTCTGGGGGGAGGGGGCGGAGCCGCCGCGCGAGCCCCGCCCCGCCCTCGGCGGGCGCAGCGATACGAGTTTTTGGGCGCCAAACGCGCAAGGCGGTGCTGCTGCTGCACGCCCCGTGTCCTTCCGCCGCGCGCGCCGGGAGTACCGGCCGGAGGGAGAGCGAGGCGGGAAGGAGCCGGCGGAGCGGCCGCTGCGCCAGGCCAGGCCGGGCCGGGGCCGAGCTGGTCTGTCCCCTCCCGTGTCCGTCCCCCTCCACACACCCACCCACCCACCCACCCACCATGGTGGTCCTGCGGAGCAGCGCCGCTCGCCCAGCACGCGTGGCCGCTCGCGACAGCCGCTGCCGCCGGCCCCCCTTCGACCTGCTGGACTCCAGCTCCGACTTCATCTCCCTGGAGGGCCCGGCCCTCAGCAGCCGCGGCGTCTGGACGCGCTCCGGCTCCGCCAAGGCCGCGGGGTCCAGGAGAGCCGGGAAGGCCGTGAGTGCCGGGGCCGGGCAGCGCTGGACTGTTGGGCCCGGGGGGGAGGGGGGGGTCGGGAGGTGTGGGGAGGAGCTGGGGAAGCGGCGGGGATCAGGTCCCGCGGAGGGAAAAAAGGGGGGAAAGGCATGTTTGGGCCAAGCGCCCGCGGCCGGGTGCGTGTGCAGGAGCAGCCGGGCCCTCCCGTTCCGGCCACCCCGCGGCTGAAGGGGGCTCGGCACTGGCCTTGGCAGGGGCCTGAGAGCCGGTTCCTGGGGAACACAAACCTGCGCTCTGCCTCTCTGCCCGACTCATCTCGTTTTGAGATGTTCAGAAGTTCACTGTTTTTAACGTACCCTTCAAAAGCTAAAACTCTTCTCTGCTCTTTCCAAGTCAGGCTCTTCTCTGTAGGCTCTCCTGCATTTCTGTGACAAATAAAAGCAGACCAGATCCAGCTTGTAAGTGGTCTGCCCTTGAGGGGAGCCCTGCCTTGCAGTGATACTTCTTATGGACTCTGTTTCCTTCCAGCAAAAGTCTTTCAGGAGTTTCAGTTATATGGATTAATTTTATAGTTTTTTTTTTTTTACATTTTTTTCCATTATTTTCAAGATTACTGAACTAAGAAGGAAGAAATCCTTGGGGTGGTGGGTTTTTTCTCTCCCCTTGCAAAAGCTCATGGAATATGCTTTAAGATCACTGCTTCGTTTTTGCAGTCTTCACTGGCAGTTGTTGTCAGGGGCTGCCTTCAGCTCTTTTGCTGCCCTTTTGCTCTGAGGGGAAGGTTATGCAGTGTTAAGCAGATAGCACAGCTGGCATGCGTTCTCAGTGTGGAAAACAGGAATGAGGAAGCTAAATGTAAACTTATCCCTGAAACAAAAGCAGATTCATTGTTATGAAACAGGTTGTAAGGTTGTTCATTGGTTTGGTTTCTTCCCCCCCCTCCTTTTTGTTGACCTTTTCCATGTTTCAAGGCACTGAGTCATTACCTCATTTGTAGGATGCTGGGCTCTGCTGGAGGTTTTAACTGCTGAGATAATGCAGAAGTGCCCCAGCTGACAGAGGTCATGATGCTGGTGCTGGTTGCGTGTTGCAGCCTTAATGCCTCTTTCCTGTCTCATTGATGTGTGAGGACTTGCTGTTGGCAGGTTTTGCAGTTTTTTCTGATGTTGTTTTGTGGTTATCTTTAGTTATACAGCTCATTGCATCCACAGACAGTAAGGAGCGTGCAACAGAAAGTGAAAGGTAAACCAACATCTGCTGGGTTCACCCTCTTCCAAGTTTCCAGTCTCAGTAAGTTTCATGAGTGAGCTTCCCAGGGAGATCCAAAGTGGCTGCTGTCCCTCGAGGTCTGTAGCCCTGGTGTAAGTCCCCGGGCTGACCGAGCTTGTTGTCTGGTGACCTGTATTTGAGGACAGTGTGCTCCTGAGTTCCCTTTTTGTCTGGGCCTCCTGGCCTGCATCGAAAATGGTGTGACCAGCAGGGCAGTGATTGTCCCCCTTTAATCAGCACTGCTGAGGCCTCACCTCACATGCTTTGTCCAGTTCTGGCCCTTCACAACAAGAAAGGCAGTTGAGGTGCAGGAATGTGTCCAGAGAAGGGCAAGAAGGGTCTAGAAAGTAAGTCATATAAGGAGCACCTGAGGGAGCCGGGGTTGTTTACCCTGGGGAAAACAAGGCTCCAGGGAAACCTTATTACTCTCTACAACTATCTGAAAGGAAGTTGTAAGGAGTCGGCCTCTTCTCCCAGGCAACTAGCGACAGGATAAGAGGATAAGGCCTCCAGATGCGCCAGGGGAGGTTCTGGTTGGATATCAGGAAGAAATTTTTTTGCGGAAAGGGGGGTTAAGCCTTGGAACAGGCTGCCCAGGGAAGTGGGGGAGTAGCCATCCTTGAAAGTGTTCAAGAAACAGCTGGATGTGGCACTTAGTGCTGTGGTTTAGTTGACAAGGTGGTGATCGGTCAAAGGTTGGACTCGATGATCTTGGAGGTCCTTTCCGGTCTTAATGATTCTATGAAAGCAACTTGGCAAGCTGTTCTGCCAGCTCCCTCAGCACCCTTGGGTGGATCCCATTAAGGCCTGTAGAATTGTGAGTGTCCAAGTAGCAGGTCACTGACCATTTCCTCCTGGATTATGGGGCTCCCCATCCCTGTCTTCAAGCTCAGGGGACTGGGTATCCTGAGGACTGCCGGTCTTACTGTTGAAAGCTGGGCAAAGTATCTTTGCCTTTTCCTGTCCTTTGTCATATGTTTGCCTGTGCATCAAGTGAAGGACAGAGGTTCTCCTTAACCTTTCTTTTGTTGCTAATGTATTTGTAAAAACATTTTGTGTTGTCTGTTATGGCAGTAACTAGATTAAATTCTACTTGGGCTTTGGCCCATGTAATTTTCTCCCCGTGTAACCTCCTCACATCTTGTAGTCCTCATGTAGTCCTTCCTCACTCTTCTGTCATCACCTCCATCAACAGGTAATGGAATTACCTCTTGGTAACATTAGTGTAAAGAACTAGAAGAATCTGGTCTGTTTTCTGCCCTTTTCAGTGTGAGATTTAGTTTGAGTATTTGTAATGAAACCTTGGGTTGTAAACAGAACAGGCCCCCTCCCGTGGTCATCATAGCTTTCCTCACATGGTAAAAGTCAATACTATCATCTTCCTTGCAGAAACACCGATGCGTATCTTTGGTTCCCTTTGGTTTTCTGTGGATAAATGCCATGCTCCTGAAGCAATTCTTTTAATGTCCCTCTGAATGCCATAATAAATGGAACAGAGACAGGAGAAAAACTCTCCCAGGACAAGCCATTTTTTCTGTTGCATTAAAGATATAGAAATTTGGCAGAAAACGAACCCCTTGCATTCCAGCTGGTCCTCAGAGATCAGAGGGGCTGGGTGCAGCTGGGCCTAATTTCTGACTGTAGCCAATTTGGCACTATCAGCCCGGCCAAGTTCAGTAAGAATTTACATGATCCGGGTTTGTGACTAGCCACGTTCACTGAAGCAACTGGAAAGCAGATCCTGAATTGCTGGTGGTAAATGCAGCAACTGCAGAGTCTTAGTATGTGCTCCTAGGAAGGAGTAGTGACAGATCTATTAGCAATGTGTCTGTCTATCTAAATGAGTATTCCCGAATCTGCTCCAAAACAGTTGGGAGGCACAAAGCTCACCTAAAGGCATCCCTTCAGGGAGGAGGAGAAACACAGTCCCTCAACTGATCTAATGCAAACAGAGAGGCTTCTTCACTCTCTGTTGTTTTGTGGGTTTTTTGACCCCAAACCCCTCCTTCTTTTATGATATAATTTTTGACTCTTCTTAAAGGAGTGGAAAAATTACATGTTATAGGTGAGCTTTGGTTACTGTGGTCACTGTACCAAGTTTGAAATCAAAGGTTTTGTTGGTTTTTTTTCTTTGAAATCTGGTGTGGTTTTTTTTTTTTCCTGAGAGCTACTTCTTGGTGCAGAAGTGGTTCAAGGCTTACCTATGATCAGTCACATCACTCTTGAGTCAGGAGTGTAACAGAATAAACTTGCCCAAATGAGGCAATATATGTGATTCACATAAATACATTTATCCTTCTTTTCCTAGGAATTTTCCTCTGGCAATGTTGAATGTTTCAATGGACACTCTTTAAGATCAATGAGAAAAAACATGCCACCCTGTTCAGACTCCAGCTTTGACAAAAGTATGGAAATACTGAGTGAAAATGTCAACCGACACTTCTCGAGGTATCGTTTTTCTGGGTGTTCAATCTCTGTTCAATTTATACAATGAAAAGTGAAAGAATGCCCAGTGAGTCTTCTCAAAATAAATCTACAGCTAAAAATCCTCAGGGGAATTATGAGTATGTTAGTGCCACTGTCTTAAAAGTGGAATCACACTTCTTAGTCAAAGTAATCAGCTTGTATAAAAAGCATTGTATCTCAATCTGTCCTTTGAGGTTTCTCCTCCACTTTACTTACTGAGATATTACTTGCCCTACTGAGACATCCAGACAAGCAAGTTAGGAAATGTCTGTCCTTAGAGAACTGTGTGCATATGGTGCACAGCAGACTCGGGATCTGAATCCTCCCTGGGGTCCACAGGCTTTTCTTTGCATGATGTGTAGCACCAGATTATAAACCTGGAGAAGTTCCCCAGTGTTGAGGGATGACTGTACAATGCAGTGCAGTATAATACTGCCATACAATACTTGTAATACAACAATTCTGTTCTCCTTTTTCTCTGCCCTCTTTCTTAATGTAGGCAGCTGGCAAAGCCGAAATCAGATGCAAAAAAAGACGACTATAAAGAAGGTAAGTAGTGATAACGCCTTAGGATTCTTTTTTCGTCTAGTTTCTGAGAAGGATTGCATTTGGTCACTCTGTCCATTTAACTTGGCCCCAAAAACTTCTAAATTCATCAGCCAAAATCAACTGAAGTCATGAGAATAGATATCTCAAAGATAACAATTTCCACTGAGTTCTTTCAAAAGAGGTAGGTGCAAATAG